TTAATTTTAAATCCATTTGACATCATTGCCTTGTCAAATTTCTCATGCCATTGCTTTGGCGCTTGTTTTAAACCATATAATGATTTAACCAATTTACACACTTTCTTTTCTTTTCCTGGAACAGAAAAACCTTCTGGTTGTTCCATGTAAATTTCTTCATGGATGTTATTCTAATAACCGGTGAGTATGTGTCAAAGTAATCAAGACCTTCTTTTTGTCTAAATCCTTTGACCACAAGTCTTGCTTTGTATTTGTCAATCGATCCATCCGCTTTCAATTTTCTTTTGAAAATCCACTTGTACCTAAGAGGTTTACAACCTGGTGGCAAATCCACCAATTCCCAAGTGTGATTTTGCAAGATGAATTCAACTTCACTATTGACAGCTTATTTCCATAAAAGAGTTTCAGGACTGGACATAGCCTCTTTAAATGTTAAAGGCTCATTTTCTAACAAAAATGTCAGAAAATCTGGACCAAAAGATTTTGAGGTTCTAGCACGTTTACTACGCCTAAGTTCCTCTTCCTCATTTTAATCTAACTCTTGTTCTTGATCCTGACTAGTAATAGCATCATGAGATCTCTTATTGTTACTAGTCTCTTGTCTAGTCTTATTTGGAAATACATGTTCAAAGAATGATGCATTCCGAGACTCAATAATAGTATTTACAGACATTTCGGTATGTTCTGATTTATGAATCAAAAACCGATATGCACTACTATTCTTAGCATAACCAATGAAAATGCAATCAATGGTCTTAGGACCTATCTTAGTCTTTTTAGGACTAGGAATAGTCACTTTAGCTAACCACCCCCACACTTTTAAGTATTTGTAGGATGGTACTCTACCATGCCACATTTCATAAGGTGTTTGATTCACTTTCTTTCGGGGTACTTTATTTAAAATATAATTAGCAGAAAGTATTGCTTCCCCCCACAAGTTCTGAGGTAATCCAGAACTTATTAACACGACATTCATCATTTCTTTTAAAGTCCTATTTTTCCTTTCAGCAATTCCATTTTGCTAAGGTGAGTAAGGAGCGGTGGTTTGATGAATTATTCCATGTTCTTTACAAAATTCACCAAAAGGTGATTCATATTCACCACCTCTATCACTTCTTAGTTTTTTGATTTTCTTACCAAGTTGATTTTCGACTTCATTCTTATATTGAATGAAAGTTTTTAAAGCTTCATCCTTGGTTCGAATTAAATAAACATAACTATATTTAGTACAGTCATCTATAAAAGTGATAAAATATTTTTTTCCCACCTCTAGTTTGAATTGATTTAAAATCACAAATGTCACTATGAATTAATTCAAGTGATTCCGTACTTCATTCAATTGAATGAAAAGGAGTTTAGATAATTTTGTCTCAACGCAAAATTTCACATTTATGATTTGAATCAATGTCAAATTTAGGTAAACATTCCATATTAATTAATCTACGCAAAAGATCCAAAATTAACATGTTCTAGTCTACCATGCCATAAATTTGAAGACTCAAGCAAGTAAGAAGAAAATGTATTATTATTAATAACTGAGGTACAACGGTCATTACATTTAACTTGAAAAGGCTATCAGACATGTAACCTTTTCCTACATACATCCCATTCTAGTAAGTACAAATTTATCACTCTCAAATACTAGCCTAAACCCATTCTTACTCAACAGAGATCGGAAACAAGATTCTTGCGAATGTCCGGTACATGCAGCACATTGTTGAGATGAGTTTCTTCCGATGTCATTTTGAGAACAATCTTTCCTTATTCTTCAACTTTGGAAGTTGAGGAGTTGCCCATAAAAGTTGTTCACCATTGTCACTGAAGAATAAGATGTGAACATCTTTTTGTCGGCACAAATATGGCGAGTAGCACCAGTGTCCACCACCATTCTTTAGGATTTCCAACAAGATTTGCCTCGGAAACAACTGCAGAAAGATTGATGTCATCTACACCAATGGAAATCTTGTCCATTCGGTCATATAGGCTTGAGCAGGCTTCTTGCTTTGTTCTTCTTTTGTTTTGCCTTTGCTACGGCAATCTTTGGCCCGATGTCCCTCTTTGTTACAGATGTAACATTTGCCATTAAACTGTACTTTTTATTTCCCTTCCCCCCCCCCCCTTTAGATCCTTGTGATGAACTTTCTCCAGAAAGACTTTCGTTTCTTGGTTTTTGAAGCATGTTCCACCATATTGCCTTAGACTCCATAGGATGCTTACCAGCCCGCTTTTCAGAATTGCGGTTTGTCCTCCTCAATCCTCAAACGCCACAATTAATTCTTTCATAGAAATTTCTTTGCGCTTGTGTTTGAGGTAGTTCTTGAATTCCTTCCAGCCTTTTAGTAATTTTCAATTAAGGCTGCAACTTGGAAGGATCTACTGAGAGAATCATGCTTCTACATGAATGTCATGCAGAATGAGTTGGAAATTCTTGAACTTGGTATCACAGTTTTTGAATCAACCATTACAAAATCCAGGAATCTGCCAACCACAAATTTCTTTGAACCGGCATCTTCCGTTTTGTATTTTTTCTCCAAAGACTTCCAAAGTTCCTTTGCTGTCTTGATAGGACTATAGACGTTGTATAATGTGTTGTCATGTCCGTTCAAGATGTAATTCCGGCAAAGGAAATCGGCATGTTTCCAGGCATCAACCGCAGCAACCACTTGCCAGTCGGTTTTATCATCTTTCAGGATAGGAGCATCTTCACGGAGGAAACGAGCCAGGTTCAGAGTTATAAGATAGAACAACATTTTCTGTTGCCATCTTTTAAAGTCAGTTCCTGAGAACTTCTCTGGCTTTTCACCATGATTTACCGGTACTGTTACAATAGGAGAGGGGGTTGGCGTGATTGCAGCGACCACAGTAGTACTTGTTTGGGCATTAGTTTTAGTAGCCATCAATTCTAATTTATAAAACAAAATTAGAATTAGAATTTACACTACACAGAAAATTAAACCAAATTTACAGAATTAAATTTTGTAAAAAATAAAAGAAACAAGAATGTAACTTTTATTTTCCAATTAATTTGGAAATAAAATAAAATTTTATTCAACCAAATTAATTCCACACAGGAAATTAAATTCTGTACAATAAAAGAAATAAGAAAATAACTTTTATTTTTCAATTAATTTGGAAATAAAATAAAATTTTATTTAATCAAATTAATTCCACGCAGAAAATTAATTTCTGTAACACTTCAATAATTAAAATACTAAAACAGAATATTAAATAATGAAAACTCAGAAAATAATTTCTAAAATTCAAAATTAATTTCTGAAAAAATTCCACAAAAATATATTTTGAATTGTTAATGACACCAGTATCATATTACTAGTTGTCAAAGAAAATAGACAGTATATTACTACTATCTGTCAAATAGCATAAAATCACTATTTGTTTTTCCAACCAGAATATTATTTTGTAAATCCACAGAAAATAATTTTCTTAAAAGAAGAAAGAGAAAAGGAAATAAACGAAAAATTCTATAAACAGAATAATTCGAATCTGTCTTAAAATTGTTGGAACAATTTTCTGTGTAAATAAAATAAATTGAAATAAAACCAAACAAATAAACAAATAACGTATCGAATTTATTTATTGAACCGAATTAGAAGAAAATTTAAAGACCAAGTCAAGTGTGTGGCACTTCGTCCTTAAGACAGATTCGCCCCGCTACGGTACTTACGATTGAGTGGCATCTATCTCCCAAGATACAATGATCTTCACAAATTGTAGTAGTACTCCAAAAAATTTGTTTGGCCAACCAAACCTGTGTTCTAACTCTCTGAAATTTATACTAAAACTAATATGAAGAATAATGCAAAAAATATAGAATTTAGGACAACTAAAAGACAATCATCCGACTGAATTTCGGAGTTGCTGGATTGCTGGATTTAAGGCTATATATATAGGCAAAAAAACTCTGCCCTGAACAGGTTCCAAAAAGTAGTGAAAAGGTGCACAATAAATTTGAACCGTTGCTTGAACTCTTTTTTCAAAAAGTTTGAAAAAAGGTATCGTTTGTAAGAACAAATTTTCAACCAATTTGAAAAGTGATCCGTTGGAGAACAGTTAAAGTAACTGTTGGACCTTTATTATTTAAACCATTTGAAATATATATATATATATATATATATTAAACTATTTGAATAGTTTAATAAATAAAGAAAGAGGTACAAACTTTAGGAAACTACTTAGAAACCTAAAATTTGAATTTAGAATTAAATTAAATTTTCATAATTACAAATTTTAGGAAACCACTCAGGAACCCAAAATTTGAATTTAGAATTAAATTAAATTCCCCCAATAAATGTTAGACCCGAAAACGACGTCAATTTCTCATTCACTCATAAATGGTTTTGACGTTCCATCTTCACCGTGTGACTTGCCACGTGGCAAGGAATACTTCACCTCTTCGGACCCATCCCAAAAGACGTTTGGGACCCAATCAAATTTAGACTAAAAAATATACCTATATTAAACCATTTTTCCAACAATAACAACAACCTAACCATCTATTTATAGGTTTCTAAACGGTGTATCAAACGTGTATTGAATTTCATAGCTTAAGTGCTAAGCTTCTCACTTGGTTCCAGTTCATGGTTGGAGGTAGCTTCCATGAAGCTTCATCTTCTTCTTCAAGCTTCTCTTCTTCCATCTTCAGACAGCTTTTGGAGAGGGGTGGAAGAATCAAGTTTATTCTCCAACACTACAAGCATCAAAGCAATAAGCAAAAGGAGTTTTTGTCTGATGCCACTGTTGGATCCAATATTTCCATATTTAATTGAGTTGGTTCAAAAGGACTTTATCACGAGATGGACCCCATAACCAACCGCAATGAATATATGAATATAACTATTCTGTAATTAATTCTGCTTAATATAGTGTGATGATTAGTCCTCAAAAAAAAAAAAAAAACTATTCTGTACCAGCTTACAGATGAGCCTTTAATTTGTTTTTGTTTTTGTTTTTGTTTTTCTTTTTTTATGAAAGAGAAGTGTGAGAAAAACACAACACTACAAAAAATCAGTCACGAGATATTACAAGACAAAAGGCCAAACCTCTTCCTAGGGTAGGGAGTTGATGACTTTGATACACACCAACCCAACTCCACAACCTTTTTTACTGTAATAGATCAGAGCTTTTAAGCAAAACCAAGCTTCATTTTTCAGAACTGGCTTTCTCTCATCTCTTTGCCTTACACATTTCCTGTGTGAATAATGGCTTCTTTACACCACTCATCGAAGTTAGTACTCCTCCTCTCTTTTTCCCTCATTGCCCTCAACTTCTACATTATTTCCGTACAAGCCCTTAACATCAGCATTCAAGCAAGTTCTACCATCTCTCTGGTTAGTTCTTCATCAGCATCTCTTGCTTTACTTTCTTTTCTTTCATTTTCACTATGCTATTATTTGTAATCTCATTGTTATGACTTACTTTCTTTTGTTCTATATTTTTTTGTAGTCTAAAGAGTGCAGTAGAAAATGTGAATCAGAGTTCTGTAAAGGTACTTTATATTTTGGGGTTCAAACGTTTCTATCTTCTTCTTCTTCTTCTTCTTCTTTTAACTTGATTTGATAGTAGATTTTACTTAAGGATTTTATTTGATAGTCGGTCCTCAAAAGTATATGTATTGTCGGTCCAAAGTACGCACTTCTTTCTGTAAATAAAGGTTTAACTTATCAAGTAATTGAACGGCAGTGGCACCATTTCTAAGATATGGGAAGTATTGTGGGCTGCTATACAGTGGATGTCCAGGGGAGAAGCCATGCGATGGCCTTGACGCTTGTTGTATGAAGCATGATGCCTGCATTCAAGCTAAGAACAGTATGTTTTATCTCATTCCATTCCTTCCCTGCCCAAGTATCCCTGTCCCTAAATAATTATGTCTCATGTCCCAAATCACTCACAATTATTGGATCATATGAGAATTCCAAAATGTGAAAATCTCAAAACATATCCAATGATTGTGAGTGATTTAGGATAAGAGACAGAGTATCCTTGCTGTCCTTCCCTCAATAATGCAGATCATTTCTCTTCAGATATATTTCCAATTATTAAGATTTTGTTATTATGTATTATTACTAATCTTATTCTGGTTGATGAGGCACCCTTTTCGGAGAAACACCAAAATTGGCCTAATTGATATAATGGTAATTTGGTCTCCTAATCTCCACAATTACCAATCCTGTTTATAAAATTCAAGAATTTGGATCCAGAAAAAAAAAATGGATATTTGGATTTGCATTGTAATTTCCAATCCCCCCACTTGGAATGCATGCAGAGTTCAAAAAATATATCGAAGATGAATTTGAACAGTTTCTAATTCATTTTTAATAGGACTACTCAATACGGGAAACTTTCGGTTTATTAATTTCTAGTTCCTTTCTCATATATATTTTTTCTTAATATGAAAAATAATATATATTCAAAATATATAAAATAAATATGTACTTTTAAGAGGCACATACAAAAGACGACGAAACACGTGACAATGCTATTTACCTTGAATAATAATCTCAATAAATTTCATTTCCTTTTCTTTCCGTATTAATACATGTGTATGGTGAGTTACAGGGCCCAATAGCGTAAAAAAGTAAGAACATTATTATCTATTGAATGCCCCCATAATGGTATGGGTGTAGTGCAAGTTGGCACATGCAAGTGAGAAAAAACAAAACCCACCAACCAACAATTAAGAAGTGGGTGGTAAATATAGAAGCAATTAGTATCATTAACGCCACTGCTTCTTCAATCTGAAATCGAATTAGACAGCATTGTTGAGTTGTGGTAGGCTGGAGTCCGAGTTCATCTCAATAATTCAAATTATTCAATAGGTAAACCTCGTCGAATATATCATCCACACAAAAAAATCATGTTGATTAGATATAAATAATCATTTGAACAGAATGAATTTGTTTCAACAGTAATTATGATTTTTAAAATAAATCGTAGACACAAATGTAAGCTAATCAAGTGGCTATCGATATCCAATTAACGTAATTTTTAACAGAAATGATGTATCTGATGAGCTCTACACATTTAACGGTTTGAATTATCAAAATGAACTGAAAATCAAGCCCACCATGATCCAACAATACTGTCCAATCTGCTTCCGGACTGGAGAGAAGCTGAACCCATTAATTAGGTCTCGTTTGGCAAGTGACTTTTTTAGTCAAAAAGTTTTAAAAGTCACTAAAAAAATCAAAAAGTCAACAACTCATACCAAAAAGTCAAATATTCCATTTTCTCTCTACTTTTTGCACATCTTTTCGTAAAAAGTTAAAAAATCATCCCAAACATACTAATTTTTTTTACATTACATTTTAGTCAAAAAGTTAATAAAAAATCTATTTCCAAAGGAGGCCTTAATATGTAGTTTTACCCGTTCATGTGGTTTTACTATGCAATTGAGTTATGCAAATGTGTTGTGTGCAGATGACTATTTAAGCACAGAGTGTAGCGAGAATTTAATAAAGTGCATAGACAAGTTCAAGAGATCAGGAGAACCGACATTCACAGGGAACACATGCTTAGTTGAAGATGTTACTAAACTCATCACTCTCGTCATCGATGCTGCTTTGCTTGCTGGAAGATATCTCCACAAGCCTTAAATTCCTTCTCTTATTATCTCATCATCATCCTCTCTCTTCTTTTTTATTTTCTCAACAAACAAACAAACAAAAAAAAAACACTTGCACTCTATTCTTGCTAGCTGTTTCCAACTTTTTTTTTTTTCTTTTCTTTATTGTCACTAGAAATGTGACATAGATGCACGTGTTTCTCACCTCACTCCACTACTTCTGTTCATCTATTTATTCTGTCAACTACTTTTTCTTTTTATTTTTTTTTTAGAAGAAAACTGAACCTTTAAAAATGCATATTCCAAATGTGAATGACAAGATTAAGGCATGTTTATTTCGACTGACTTGATTAGATGAGATTAATATCTGTAAGATTGTTAATCCAAAAACTATTAAGAGTATTTGAGAGAACTTGAGGGCTGTGTTTTGATGATTATCGGATCATCGAATCGACCTAATGATTTTCATGGATAATAAACACAGAGAATCTTAGAAAATAAATGATTAGGATCATCGAAACGGGACACGTAATGGGTCTCGTGGGCCTCTCAAATTCTCTCAAGTTCATATTTTATTTTTATTTGAAAGAAGCCCAACCCATTATGAATTCCTTTAAATTGTGTATCTTATCTCTATTTAGATTAACTCAAGATTACGAGGGGATGGAAAAATCTTATTAATTTGGTAATTTAATTAATTTGTCTGAACTTCTCTTTAGTTCTTCATTTTCTATCCCACCACCCTCTTCAAATATAATAGTTCCTTATATAGAGGATACCATGTCCTGATGGACTAAGTTGTTAGATAATGTCTCAATGGGACCACATAATTAAATGTGGTGTTATCATTTATAAGAAGCCTACAATTTAAGTGATTCAATTTAGTTAATAGGCTTAAGGGTATATGTGTTATGGACCTAATGTGTAGATACTAGTTGTATAATTTCTATTTCTATGAGGGGCAGAAATAGAAATTAAAACATATTGGTTAAAGTTGGTTTTCATTCCTTTTGAACTTCCACAACCTTTCAGTTTTGAAAACCAATACATAGAAATTAAAACCAATAATGGTTAAAGTTGGTTTTCATTCCTTTTGAACTTCCACAACCTTTCAGTTTTGAAAACCAATTACAACCTTTAAAAGGTTATGGTCCCTATTCCTTCCCAAGTGGAAAAAAAATAAGAATATTGCCATTTTTCTTTCTAAATCCTCTCAAGGAGAAACATAAGGCACCAAAGGGGAAAGGATTAGAAGGCAATAACATAATCAATAACAAAGAGTTCATTGATAATCACGCTTCCGTTTAACCGTTCATCAATGGATTCAGGTATGTCATTTTGTCTTGATTTCTTGATAATACACATGGTAAATGATCCAAAGTGTAAGGTTTATGTTCTGAAATTTATGTTTACAATTGGTATCAAAGCATGCATATCATGTGTCTTATCAGAATTGATATGCTTTATTCATTCTATTTAGTTTCTTGGAATCAGATTATGAATTTTTCTTATGGATGTAAATTCTGTTTTTTCCTGTTTTGTTCTGTGAAAATGGCAATCTGTTTTCTGGAATTGTAAAATGATTCGGTGGGCAGTTTTTTTTTTTTCTCTCAAATGGATGAACATCATGTATTTATATATATATAGGTATATCTTGCGATTTGATCGGTTTAATTTTGAACATCATAAAAAAAAACTATTTATTTTTTGGACCCGTCAATTTTATTTATATATGTATATATATAATTGGAATTGCTTCAGATTATATAACATATACTGGGTCACAAATTTAGAAATCTTTAAATTTAATGTAATTTCATACAACGTCTACAGAAATTTAATTTTCTAACACTCTCAATATAAGTCAATTCAAACAAGATGTCACAAAAGTGATCTCTCTTGTCTAGATTGTTTTATATGGAATGTTTTGAAGTTCATGTCTGTGTATCTCATGCGGGTATTTATCGGTCCAAAGACATGATTAAGACTTGGCAGAATTACACACACATTTTGTGGTAATAAACATGTGCCAATTGTCAAGAAAACCTAATGTGAATAATAAATCCATCAAAAGATAGATTTGTTATTTGACATAACTTATTATCAATGTTTGATCATTACAACAAGAATACCACTTACAGTTAATATCACTACCCAAAGGCTTGGTATTAATGTTGTGCTAGGTATCTTGAGATGTTGTCATTAAATTACTTTATTTAGAGATTATCTGTTTGGTAATTTAATGTGAGCATAATTGTTTATTTATGCCGAACGATCACGGGGTTACAAGTTTTATGATCCCACAAATAGGTCAATATTTGAGACGGGAATTGCAACATTTTTTGAGGATGTTGAGTTTGGGGGGAGAAATCCAGTTAGAGACATTGTCTTTGAGGAGGAAGCAGGAGTAATCCCACTTCCTACTACTACTTTTGACCAATCACAGGTTCCTATACCAGTCATTGCTCGAGAAGTAATTTCGGATCCTCAACCAGACAATGTTGTTCAAGATAATATAGTCCAAACCCCCATTCAAGATGAGGTAATTGTTCCTGAGGAACAAACTCTACAACCTCAACCTCAAGAATCTGTGCCATTAAGGCGATCCACCAGAGAAAGGAGATTTGCATTTTCAGATGATTATATTGTATATCTCCAGGAACATGAGGTAGAAAATGGAATGTCGAAAGATGATCCAATCAACTTTCGTCAAGCCATGGAAAGTTCCAACTCTCATAAGTGGAGAGTGGACAGATTTCCATAGAGCACATTGGGACAAACTCCATGATAGCAGATCCACTTACGAAGGGACTACCACCCAAGGTCTTTCATGAGCACACTGCTCAGATGGGTGCTGTTCTATTTGAGAACATTCTAGTTTAGTGGGAGTTTGTATTTATATTACTGCTTTATGTCAGCCTTGAGTTTTCAATAACATAATCAATAACAAAGAGTTCATTGATAATCACGCTTCCGTTTAACCGTTCATCAATGGACTCAGGTATGTCATTTTGTCTTGATCTCTTGATAATACACATGGTAAATGATCCAAAATGTAAGGTTTATGTTCTGAAATCTATGTTTACAATTGGTATCAGAGCATGCATATCATATGTCTTATCAGAATTGATATGCTTTATTCATCCTATTTAGTTTCCTGGAATCAGATTCTGAATTTTCTTATGGATGTAAATTCTGTTTTTCCCTGTTTTGTTCTGTGAAAATGGCAATCTGTTTTCTAGAATTGTAAAATGATTCGGTGGTCAGTTTTTTTGGACCTGTCAATTCTATTTATATATGTATATATATAATTGGAATTGCTGCAGATTATAGGGGTGTTTGGGAAAGAAAAAAATAGCCAAATTTAGGCTAAAAATCACAAAAAAACAAAATAGGCTAAAATAGCTAATAAGACAAAATATCACATCAAATCCATAATCATTTCACTTTTTCTCTCACAAACATCACATCCAACCACAAAAAAATC